CCTTACAGGATTAGGCCAGTAATTTCTTCTTTAAAAAAAAAAAACAAAAACAAAGTTTTTATTTTTTACAACAAACATACGAACAGAACATAAAAACATAAACACATCTTTCAATTATATACATACAGTGTGTCAGTTGGTTACAATCTTTTGTGCTATCCTTTTTTTTACCATTACTCACAAGTTATATAAATTCTCACCTTATCAATCTAGCTTGTGCTTATATAATATCAATTATTAAACATTCATTTAACTATTTTTCCATCATTTTATACAAGATATTCTAATTTTCATTATGATTTAATCTTATATATTCATCCAATGGTTATATATTTTTTATTGTATTCTATATCAATCTATTAACTTTTATTGTAAGGCTTACTAATTTTACCATGTCTTTTTATATAATCATTGATAAAATAAATCCCATATCATATAAAATTGTTTATCCTCTTGTTCTCTAATTTCAAATGTCAATTTACTCATTTCGGCACAGTCCATGATTTTCTTAATAATTTCCTCCTGCATAGGTATTTTACATTTTTCCAATTCTTTACAATATATTTCTGGTATAATTCCCAATAAAAATATCTCAGGTTTAAAGTCTAGGTGTTGTTTTGTCATTTTTTCCAACCATGTGTGGATTATAGTCCAATATCTTTTTGCATCCAAGCATGTCCACCACATATGGTAATATGAACCAGGTATCTGATGACATTTCCAACATTTATCTGATTTATTCTTGAACATCCTCGCAATTCTTGTCAGGGGTAAGTGCCACCTGTAAAACATCTTATACAAATTTTCTTTTTAAAAAAAATTTTTTTATTGGTTTTTAAAAACAAATATAAACAAACAAAACATAAAAACATCAAGTTATTTTCCGTATGTGTACATACAGTGTGCTGGTTCATTTACAAATTGTTTTGTGCTTCCATTTCGTAGTCTTCAATTACAATTACATTGCATATAATCTCATATTTTCAATCAAAAATTAAATACCTTAGTATCATAATTAATCAATCATTTGACTATACTTTTATTCATTCATGTTTTACAAGATAATCATAATTTACTTAGTTTATTTTATAACAGTTCATATTATCATCCCAAATCTATCCTAAAATCATTTTGTAGATATGAGAAAGGAGTACATCTTTATATATTTATTATTTTCTAAAAGTCTACATATTTCATTACTGTATTTTATTGTCTAACCATTGATAGAAAAGAACCCAAATTTTATAAAATTGTTTATCCTCTTGTTCTCTGATTTCAAATGTCAATCTACTCATTTCAGCACATTCCAATATTTTCTTAATGATTTCCTCCTGTGATGGTATTTTCTCATTTTTCCAGTTTTTAGCAAATACAATCCTAGCCGCTGTTAATACATTTACAATCAGGTATTTCAAGTCTTTACTATATATTTCAGGTAAAATTCCCAATAAAAATATCTCTGGTTTCAAGTCTGTATGTTTTTTTGTCATTTTTTCCAACCACATGTAGATTTTAGTCCAATATTTTTTAGCATCCGCACAAGTCCACCACATATGGTAATATGAGCCAGGTGTCTGATGACATTTTCAACATTCTCGGATTTATTCTTGAACATTATAAAGAAAATTTGTATAAGATGTTTTACAGGTGGCATTTTCCCCCGACAAGAATTACAAATTTTCTTTATATGCAGTTGACATTGTCATTTTATAATTTTGAGACCACAATTTTTGCCATTTATCTAAGTCAATCCCATATCCGAAATTTTTCCCCAACACAATCATTGTTTCTTTTACTTGTCCTTCCTGTAATTTAAACTCTAGCAAATGTCCATAAAGGTTTTTTTGATTACTTTTTCATCAGTACCTGTCAAAATTTTATCTAAATCAGTCAACTTATCATAGATACCTTCTGTTTTAACATCTTTATCAAATCTAGATTTTATTTGCAAATATGAAAACCAATTCATTTTTACACCTTGTTCTTCCATCGCTTGCATAGATTTAAGTTCACCCTTTTCATTCAATATCTCACCGTATCTAACTGTTCCTTTTTATATATTATTGGATAGGAAAAAGCTTCAATAGTAGATAGCCATAGTGGAATTTCTAAATAATATTGCTTTTTTATCTTCTCCCAGTTTAGAAACAATGCTTCTCGAATATAATGTCTTCTAAAATACCCCTGTGTTTTAGTTCCCTTATACCAGAGGAAGGCATGCCATCCACATAACAGCAAGTCATGTCCTTCTAAATTCAAAAGTCTAGTATTCCTTAGTGTTATCCACTCCTTTACCCATATCAGACTCATTGCTTGGTAGTATAATTCCCAACTGGGCAAAGCAAATCCTCCTCTTATTCTTGCATCTTGTAGCAATTTAAGTTTTATTCTTGCTTTCTTCCCCTGCCAAATGTATTTTAGCACTATTTTGTTTAAATCTTCAAAGAAAGATTTAGAAAAGATTTAGAAGCTGAGGCTGGTATCTTTCTGCTCATCTTAGAGTATTTAATAGAAAAATTGAGAAGAAAAAGCAAGAGCAGCCAGCTGCCACTCCAGTAAAAAAAAATAAAAACAAAAAATAAAAATAAAAAAGGGAAGGGAAAAAAATCTTCAGGCACTTGAATACCTTAATCCAATTGATTCCAATTATATAGAAAAAAATAAAAAAAATATAAAATGGAAAAAGGATGAAAAAAATAAAAAAAGGAAAAAAATTGAAATGACAGAAATCTATATATTCCCCTTGCTAAAAAGGTAAAACAAAGGGAGGAGGGAGAGGAAAAAAAAGTAGTCTTATTCTTGCATCAAAGGACTCAAGTCCAAATATAAAAATCCAATTGGGGAGGAAATAGAAAAAAAAGGAAAGAGAAAATGCAATTCTGCCAATAAGCAAAGCACTGTCACTATATGTTCGAGGCTCTTTACTAAATCAAAAAACAAAATTTCCAGTTCTCTTTTCAAGGTCACTTCAATCTTCTTTCTTCAATTTCAAATCCAGACTCCAGCTATCAGTAGTTCCACAGAAGAGCACCTGCAAACAATCTACATGCTCTTCCACTATCTTTTCAATGAAAAGCACAGAGTCCTTGAATGTAACATCAAATGTATCAACAAGAAAGGAAGAAAGGAAAACAATATATCCAAGGTGGCAGCGCTATTTATTTCCCTTTCCTTTCCCTTCCCCTCTAATATTAAAACCAGGAATAAAAAAATAAAAAGAATCTAAAGTTATTAAAGAGAAAAAACAAGAGAAAAAAATAACTTTTCCAAAAAGTTATTTTGAAAGGAAAATATAAAAATTAAAAAGGAAAGACCAGTCCAGTTTAAAAATTGAAAAGTTTTTACAAAATCCAAAGTTCCAATAAAAAGAAAGAAAAAACCTTCAGGTTTAATTTGTGCTTAATCTCGCCGCTTGAGCACTTTTATCTTCACTTTTAAATTTAATTTTTAGTCTTTTAGGGTGTTCTCTCCAGAAAAAAATAAGTAGAAAATTATCTCACCAAACTGACACACTTTCTTTCCAGCTTTCTTCCATTCCGGAGCTGTCCCAGCTTCAGCAGCTTTAATGGCTGCCTCTCCATTGCGGGAAAAAAAGGGCTTCTCCTGGGTCTACCAGGGACTTTGCGATGTCCCTAGGATCAACAGGATGTGCCCTCATCAGTCACCATCTCTATGGGACAGTTTAGGTCCGTTGGGACCGTCCTGCAATGGAGATATCAGCAGCGATCTTAGAGTTTAAAGACTGCATGATGTACCACCACGACGCTAGCTCTGCCCTCTCCCAGTAATTTCTTCTAACAACTGGTTCTCCGAACTGCTTAGAATGTTAACAACCGGTTCTAGCGAATAGGTGTGACCTGGTAGAATCCCAACCCTGGCTACACTGAAAGAAAACATCAGAGCGGACTTAAATCCACAAAGAAGCCAAAAACAATACCTGGATATAAAGCATTTAAGGACAGAATAACTTTGTCGTTGGGCAGAAATCTCTGGATACAAGCTGAAGCCATTGCTGATCCACAAACCAGAGAACCTTTGTGCCCTCAAAAACAAAAATAAGCACAGTCTCCCAGTATATTACAGATCCAATCAGGCGGCTTTGATGACATAAGTAATATTTGAGGATTAGTTTATGATCTGCTTTGTGTAAGGGCCTAGTGCTTAGAGAACAACATCCCTTTCACAATTCTCATACTCCTGGACAATGCCCGTGGATACCCCCCACATTTTCAATTAAAAAGTTTCAATTGAATTTTAAAAAAATATTTTTTAAAATAAAAAAAATTAGAATTGAAAAATATTTAAAAACTGAAAAAGAATTTAAAATGAAAAAACATTAAAATTGAAAAAAAAATTAAAATTTGAAAAAGATTAAAAATGGAAGAATTTAAAATAAAAAAAAAGTGAAAAAAATAGACATTTGAAATTTTTTTTAAAAATCTACAGATTTTAAATGTAACAATTTGCAAAAGTTCTTGGCCCTTTATAAGCACTTTTTGTGGGAAAACTCAGGCTGTTTTCTAGGAGATACTTTGCTTTTAATCCTCTACTCCCTGCCTGGAAAGTTTGTCCCTTTCTTCCCTGTCCACAAGTGTTTCGTACTTATCCTTTTTCTCCTTGCCTTCTTCCTCTTTGGATGCCTGGCCACTGCTGGGATTTTCAAGCGCACTGTTCTCAGCCATTGCTATGGGCACTCTAGTCCACTGTCATATACACACACACACACACACTCACACTCACATTTATATCATATATATTCACAGACACACACACATTGTCATACACATAATCATATATTTCATATATATTCATACACATATTATATATATATATATGTCATATATTCATACACATATAATGTGATAGGAAATTTGCTGCAATGTATTACATTATTTATTGAGTTTATTTTCAATGATAATGATAAAAGATATTGGATTGGATTGGACGACATCTATAAAGATAGAACAAATAAAAATATTGAAACCACAACAGCTGAAACATGTGTTCATAGAAAGATATATTGAAATGTAGCAAGGGAAAAATAATAAACAAAACAGAGATGGGTTGTGTGTCTGAAGGCTTTCCTGACTAAAATACATATTGATGAGTAAACAATAGCTAACATGCAACACTCCCACAAAACTCTGCTAAAACTAAAAATTTGAACACTGGAATAACTATTCCAAAAACAAGAGCAAACTTTTTGCTCACAGAGCAATTCATTATCTTAGTTACTTAAAAGAGCTTCATTCTGCAAGGACCATATTCTTTGACTGTAGTTTATCCATTTCTTGACCAATATTTCCTTCCACTGTATCACACTGTGCAAGAAAAGCCTGAAAACAAAAATAAAGTCAAACAATATTTGTCAAAATATGTTCTCACTACATTTCTACAATAAAAGTGACAATTAAT